TCACATTATAACGCCCCCACGGCTGAAAAGGCAAGCATGTTTGGTGGGACTGGGATTCGAATCCGCAGATTGCGAGTCGAGTGCCCTAACCACCAGGCCATGCCGGGCCTCTAACATCGACAAGCAAAACCTTCCTCCACAACACGTGATATTCATGGATTGCTTCTAAATAGAAATATATCGCGGACAGACGAAACAACAACAAAAAACGAGAATCCTGAGGAATAATTTGTAGCAGAGGAGAAATATAACTCAATATCTCTTTGGTTCGAGAAGTTTCTAGGTATCTGCTTCTGAAGTGTTAAATTTAGAATCATTTTTGGAGCATAGTTGGCATTTTATTAGGATTATCGTCCATGGCCAAAAGTTATAGCAGTTTCTTCTTGCCCATACCTAAAGCATTCGTAGTTTTGCTGTAAATATTAGACTTTACAAATGTGTGAGCTAGTGGGTGCTATGCTAAGCTGTAGATCAGAAAATTGAAAGTTTGCACTGCGATGCCACTGAAAAAGTTCTGCACATTCAATTGCGAGTGCTTTTCATGAGTGACAGTCAATTCCATCATTCTGCCCAAAGCTACAAATAGCCCTTCTAGAAGTAAATGTTGCTAACTGGCTGCTTTTTCTCTGTTGTAGCTGTACCTAGACCCCGAGAACCTCTGACCTGGTGTTAGTCCATGTGCGTATGATGCCACTCAGTTTGAAAACAATGCCAATACTTAAACATTTCCTTCACGCATAGGTATTTATTATCACATAATACGATTGATATTAAAGTTGGACAATATTAAAATAATATTCGGACAATATTTTAAGTTAAGGTATAAATATAAAATATTTATTTAAATTTTACCAACACAAATCACACATCGGAGAAATAGACACAAATTCTTCAAACAAAATGTCAATTTTCCTTTCGCTGTTTCTGATCTAAAACCGGAATATGAATAAATTACGAGAAACACTAGAAAGTGTTTCCCATTTATGTTGTTTACCAAGGAGGCGTATTATCATCACCCTGCTTATTTCCGGTATATAAATATTTTAAAATTTAGGCAAGAAATTCTAAACTTAATTATCTGGCTAAATTGCATAAGTAAATACTTAATTTTTAACTTGTTCGACCGAAAGTCTCTGCATACGTTAAACTTGTGACTCCCACGTCACCATGACATCATTTTGGAGTTAACAACTTGTAATATTATGTGTTTATAATTTCAGTATTACAATAAAGAGCCATTTACAATTACGGAGTCTGCTGTGGCTCGGAGCATGACCAGGTGGTTAGGGCGCTTGACTCACAATGTGCGGATCGCGGGTTCGAATTCCCGTCACACCAAACATGTTCGCTCTTTCAGCCGTGGGGGTGTTATAATAAAATGCAGACTCCAGGACTACTATACTCCAAAAGACACATCATCCGATCACCCTGTAGATCTTATGGTGATAAAGCAATTAAACATTTGATTCTAGATTTCATAGGCTTACCCCACTGTATTGTGTGATACAATAACGCTAGCGTTGGTGTACCAAAATATCGGACGGCCAGATCTACGAAATTTCGAACCGTTGGGTAAAATGCATAACAAATTTTTTGCTTATTACTTTGAGGTGTCCCAAGGCACGTCCCCTTTTGGTAATAAGGTACTCTGTCACTAGAATCTAATAAACCTTACAGTTTCTTCCTTTTTGTCTTGTTGCATATTAGGCCTATTTACCTGCCATACACTGCCTATTATTTTGAACTTTGAACTTGATGCTCCCATTTAAAACTAAACTGCAGATAAATGAAAACAACGTTTAAAATGGAACGAGACCAAACTATTCTAGGCAGTGTATTATAATATCACATTCTTGCTCTATCGAATTACATGCTTAATTTATCAAAGATATATCAATTTTTTATCTTGTCATTCATGGGCTAAACATTTTTCACTGGTGTATAATCGTGAAACAGTGACTTGCTTTTAATATTTTCAAATTATAAAGAAATGAATTATATAATATTTTATTTTTGTATTTAGATAAAGATGACGTGGAGACACAATTTACCTCAGAACCACTAAGCAAGAAGCTCAAGATTTATCCTCATAGCCACGGTTCATATGAGGTGCTGGATCCAGTGAAGTTTCTGTCCAACTCGTCTTCCCCTGATGTTGACCCCGAGCATAAATGAGTATTTTTGACAGATAAGTGGTGTCTCCCTTGAAGACTTTCATTTTCCGTTTACAAACAAATGCAAGTATAGTCCGACATGGGAAAATACTTACCCATTGTTGAGTTATTCTGCTTTTTGTGCCTACTGTGTTTTATTTGCTCCAAAGCATGAATATCAACAGTTCGCAAACACTGGTTTCAATGACTGGAAGCATACCATGGGAAACTATAAGATAGTCATGATACAGTCCCATAATTAAAGTGAAAGATACAAAATTGCCACAGAGAAAGCTGAACATTTCTTGAGAGTTTCATCTGTTATGCAAGATAACATAGAGTTCAGTTTGATCCAAGTATATAAAAACAGTGTTAAGAGTAACCGAGCTGCATTACTCTCAACAATTGATATAATCCTTGCACTTGCCCAGATAAATATACCTTTCAGGGGGAACTGGAATGAGGAGTTACATGAAGAAGATGGCAACTTCAATTTTTTAATCCAGTGGAAATCAAAAGTTGATATAGCTTTACAGTTGCACCTTGAAACGGCTTTAGGAAATGCTCACTACATGTCGCCCAAAATTCAAAATGAAATTCTTGAATTCATTAAAAAGGAGATACGACAGCAAATCAGACTTAAGACAGACAGCTCGGCGTTTCTGAGCATAATGGCAGACGAATCATGTGATTGTTTAACCCAGGCTCAGTTGGCAATTGTAGTGCGATATCTTTTTGAAAATGAAGTTCATGAAGATTTTCTAGGTTTTATCAACCTTGAAAGGACTGATGTTGCAACTATATCATGTGTTGTGTTGTCTGACTTGGAAAACTGGGGTTTTGATCTTACAAAACTTTGTTGTCAAGGGTATGATGGGTGCAGTACTACGAACGGTGAATTATTTGGCGTAAAACAAATAATTCAATACAGATACCCAAAAGCAAAGTACTTTGTCCACTGTAGAAGCCATTGTTTAAATCTGGTAGTGACCAACAGTTTTAAGCAGGTTCCTTCAATTAGGAATCTAATGGGAATCCTATCCAAGTTAACTTGGTTTATGGTTAGATCAGTGAAATGAAAAAATATTGTCGATAAAAAAGCAATCAAGGATCTCGGCAATAGCTCTCTTGACTTTTACCTGATTGACAAAACTGAGTAAGACCTCTTCAGCGCATCATCTAGAGTATCTATGCTTCGTCTTTCTGAAACCAAGTGGCTATCTAAGGTGGATACTTTGGCTTGTAGAACACCATGAATATACACATGCATCACTCAAAACAATTCGTGATGAATCTTCATGTGATTCGCCATGAAATTCATCTTCATACTTGATCTCTCTCTTGGCAACTTTGAGTTCATAATCTCAGTTGTGATCACACAGTTTGTCTTGGGTTACATGCGTCCTCTCTGTGTGTCACTACAATCAACCAAGTGGAATTTGATTGAGGCACATACAGATGTTGGAAGACTTGTCGACATTATGCAGTCATGGAGGTCTTGGCACTATGACATCATCATCTCTATCCCATCCCCTCCCCCAGAGGCAGACCAATCAGCACGTGTGTCCAAGGTGTCACCCTAACTATTAATCTGAAATGGATAGTGTAGTCTATTCTGAAGCTGGATAGAACATGTTGACGCAATAACAGTTCTCTATGGCATTACTAGTGGATTCTAGCTCGGTGTTTGTTCGATGTCTTTGGACTGAGGTACGCCTTTTAATGGATGGGGTTGTTCTCACTGTGTGTGTGCAATGATAGTTATCTTCGAGAACGTAGCATCGATTTAATGTTTTACTTATAAAGCAAAACTGTAATTGTGATAAAATCTTTTCATTACTGATAATTGTAAAAACAATGTTATGCAAATGAAATAAGATATTAATTTTAAGACTTTGATTATTACTATAAAGCTGATGACATCTTGAAACACGTTGACCCGCTGATCCCACTTATAAAGCAAAACTGTAATTGTGATAAAATCTTTTCAGTACTGATAATTGTAAAAACAATGTTATGCAAATGAAATAAGATATTAATTTTAAGACTTTGATTATTAATATAAAGCTGATGACATCTTGAGACAAGTTGACCCGCTGATCCCACTTCTTGGAACTATGATGTCACCCTTCCTCTAAGACATCAGTGCTATCTTGTGCTACTTCATGGAACTATGATGTCACCCTTCCCCTAAGACATCAGTGCTATCTCGTGCTACTTCATGGAACTATGATGTAATCATCTCGAGTGTATGCTATCTTAATTTCTAGTTATTATCAACTTTATGGTTTTTCGTGTATGTATTTAATTGCATTATGTATGTTTTACAAAGGCGGGTGCTGTTTCTATAGCTGGATAGAGTTATTATAGACCTGTAGGACTGCATACAAATTTCATCTTTAATTTTTTAGGAAGTACAAAGGGTCATTGATGTGAGCGGTCATCACATGGTCAAACAACCAGCCCTTCTTAAAACTGGCAGAATAAACGGCCAATTGCGTTGAAAGTAAAGATCGGAAATTAGAATTTTTTGTAACACACAGACTTATGCCTTTTTGGTAAAATATATTGTTTCTAGTTTGTAATGATATATGTGAGACTAAAATCATGTCACTTTATAATGATTCAAACTAATATACTAAATATTAGTTGACAATTCAGAAATACTATTACACTATAACATTTAAACATACAAGGTAATCAATAACCAAATATAAACTTTTACCTCATAGCTCCATCATCTCTTGACCGATTTGAGATCTAATTAAAGTTTTGGACTCACGAGGTCAAACCCTTTCGATTGGTGTATTTTGACCACGCCCAAGGTCTCATAGACTAATTTACTCTAATCCTGCCTAAAATTATTTCAATTTGAGAGTAGGCTCGTAGAGATCCTGATGAGTAATAAAATCGAATCAGGTATACTCGCGCTCTAGGTATTGCTGTTGCACAAAAGTATAGCTAATAAAAAAGGGTGGGAAAAGGTCTCATAGATTAATTTACTCTAATCCTGCCTAAAATAATTTCAAATGCCGCTGCTATTGTGGCTCCCCTCTTGTTTTTATTATAGATATATTTCGTTTTATATCGAAATATATTACGTAAGAAAAAAAAACGTTTATAAAAGTTGTACATGAAATTGCTGGAATATAATCTGCGCTCAAAATAAACCAACTATTGCTTTTCCAATATTGAAATTGATAACAATGCTATTATGTGCTGTTTACGAATTTGATCAAAAGAGGGCAATACAGTACTCGTACTAGACAATTTCCAAAATTATTGCCTATTGATTTTATTACCATTGAAGTTTATAAAATCGACTAAGCAATATGATAAATAAGCATAATTTGTGTGTAACATAAATGGAAAACTGCGTTGATTATGAACATAGAAATAAAATAGAAAGGTTCGTCAAAACATTCTTGCAACGTATAAAGTACCTAATTCATGATTTTATTCAGCTCAAATATAACAATTTCGTGGTATTAGGTGTTTTATTCACCAGTTTCTGAAGTTGTTTTAATGTAAAGTTACACAAAAGACTGTATGGCTGTGTTCATTGCGGGAAGTCAAACACTAGATTTTAGCGTTGTAAGTCCATAAACTTACAGCTGACCCACGCTGGAATAATTCCTGATGCGAAGAAAGGATTTTCTGAACTCTACGACATAGTAGAGTGGTCAGCGGTGGCATAAGTCAATAAAGACGAGACCATTCACAAAAAGTATTCTCATATAGAATACACCAATTTACTTGAACTATATTCATACTTGAATTAAAATAACACATTCGTTGAAAATATTTGGAACTTTTATGCCAAAAAAGAATATTAGATAAAAATATCTTTGTGATAAGCAGAAGGGATAAATAAGTTGCAACACAAGAATATCAAGGAAACAAAGTATTATCGTTTAGAATTAAAAATCTTAATTTTGGCTTCCACTTGAAACACTACAGACTATATATAATAATGACCCCATTACATTTTACCTAATGCTTAATGAGAAGTTAAGGGTTTAATTTCACTTTTAGCCCATGTTTTGATATACGAGTTACTATGGAATTTTATATTGACTCTTTTATCATATTTTTCGTTTTGTAGTTCCAGTAATGTGAAATTTGTGACAAATGTTTGGTAAATCAAACAAGTTTCGAAAAAAATGTAAGCTTGTGATTTATAATACATAATAGATAAATGTAATATTCCGAAAATTGTTTAATCTCGAAGTCTAAGTTCAAGGGAGGTCCATTTCAATCTACACTTTGATCAACGTGTCTTAAGGGGAGTTGCAAAATAAATCACACTTTTTCCCCGAGAGCATAACAAAGTAAAATAAGATTTTAATTCAATCAAAAAAGTTATTCCAAGTATAAATACCGCTTGATTGGGCCACCATTGTTTTCCCGCACGAGTTTTAATCGATTTACAAAATATTTCAGCAAAGCAACAAACATGTCTGTTTTTGTGGCTGTCTCTGTGAGTACATCAGTGAGAACACGTTTCAGGGTTTCACGTTTGTGTCTCTCGCATTCAGGCAAAGTTTCCAACATTTCTTCTGTGCATCG